GCTCTGGACCTTGGGCAATTCATCCTGCCAAGCCTCCATTTCCTCATCTGCAAAACAGATATGCTTTACAAGACTGTTGCAAAGATCAAGTAAAATAACGTAGGGGAAGTACTAGCAGTCGACTTTAGTGCAAGCCCTTAATAAAGACCGTCATTTTTCCTTTGTTTACAGCAACGTTTGTGGTTAAGAAATCAAGAAGAGCTCAGTCTTAACTCCCAATTCTGCCAATTCTTTGCAGGGGGGAAAAAACCTAACGTGGTTCAGCACCTACTTTGTTTCAGAAACTGTGCTGCTTCTTTCTATACTTACTTTCTTTATAACTGAGAATGTAACCCTGAAATAAAGGTATTATTAATTCCCATTATAAGAAAGTTAACTTCAGAGAGATTAAGTAATTTATGACTTAAAGACTTAAATATAAGACAGGATACTACAAAACTTCTAGAAGAGAACACAGGCAAAGCATTTGGGGGCATACACTTTAGCAATATTTTCTTAGTCTCTCAAGGCAATAGAAATAAAAAAAAAAAAAATATATATATATATATATATATATATATATATATAAACAAATGGATCCTAATCAAGCTTGTAAGCTTTTTCACAGCAAAAGGAAACCACAAACAAAATGAAAAGACAACCTATGGACTGGGGGAAAATATTTGTAAATGATGCAACCAAGGGCTTAATTTCCAAAATATACACAACAGCACATATAACTCGACAACTTTTGGCTATACAGACAGCACAGTTTCAGTTAATAAAAAAATTGCATGTAATCTGCATTAGTGGTAGCAGTCTTCAAATTCATTCTCTCAGATATGAGAGGGTTTGGTCCCGCAGCCCACAGGGATGGACAGAAACCTATAATTTCAAATGATACATGCATCCCAATTGTCATTACAGCAATACCTACAAAAGTCACGCCATGGAAACAACTTCCATGTCCATTGACAGACAAATGGATAAAGATATGATATACATATACATACAATGAAATACTTAAAAGTGAAAGTGTTAGTCGCTGCGTCATGTCTGACTCTTGTGACCCCATGGACTGTAGCCAGCCAGGCTCCTATGTCCAAGGAATTATCCAGGCAAGAATACTGGCGTGGGTAGCCATTCCCTTCTCCAGAGGATTCATCCTGGCCCAGGGATTGAACCCAGGTCTCCTACACTGCGGGCAGGTTCTCTCCCATCTGAGCCACCAGGGACTCATCCATAAAGAGAATAAAATAATGCCATTTGTAGCATATGGGTGGACCTAGAAATTACATTAAGCGAACTAAGTCAAACAGAAAAAACAAATATATCATCACTTGTATGCAAAATCTAAAAAATGACACAAATAAACGTATTTACAAAACAGAAACAGATTCACAGACATAGAAAACAAACTTGATTACCAGAGGGGAAAGGAGGGAGAGGTATAAATGAGCAGTTTGGGATTAACAGATACAAACTGCTACATTATCAAACAAACTGTTAACAAAGTCCTACTGTATATCACAGGGAACTATATTCAAGAGATTCAATATCTTATAGTAAACTATATGGAAAATATTCTGGAAAAGAATATATATAATATATGATAAATATAAATATATATAATACATATAATTTTATTACATATTATATAGGAGATTCCCTGATAGCTCAGTCAGTAAAGAATCTGCCTGTGATGCAGGAGACCTTGGTTCAATTCCTGGGTCAGGAAGATCTGCTGGAGAAGAGATAGGCTACCCACTCTCATATTTTTGGGCTTCTCTTGTGGCTCAGCTGGTAAAGAATCCGCTGGCAATGCGCAGACCTGGGTTCGATCCCTGGGTTGGGAAGATCCCCTGGAGAAGGGAACGGCTACCCACTCCAGTATTCTAGCCTGGAGAATTCCATGGATGTATAGTCCATGGGGTCATGACTAAGTGACTTTCACTCACTTGTATTACATAATAAAGGAATATATATATTATATATATGTATCACTTTGTTGTACATCAAGACACTAACACAACATTGTACTATACTTCAATTAATAAAAAAGAATGATCCCAGTTCTAAAGTTAGCAGTCATCTAGAAGCAAGGGGACAGAACACCTTTACGGTTCTTATGAAGAACCAGCACTACCTGTTTAGCATTATTAGTGTAGAAACTTGGGCTGCAACTTATAGCTGGAGACTTTCTCTCCATTTGAACCAGCACAATTCAGCCAAGAGATCAGTCTCTCCATCACTAGTTATCACCCACAGAGACAGGCCTTGACCCAAGTCCTAGGAAGACAGGCATACCCAAATTAAGCAGGCTTTGGGGTTCATCAGACCTGGTTCAGACATCAACTAGTTACATGATCTGGGGCAAATTTAACCTCTTGGCCTTTGTTTCCTCATCTGTGAAATGGGGAATGATAACATCTGTGAGGACTAAATGAGATAATGGATGTAAGTGGCCCAACATGGTGCTTGCAGTCTTGAGAAGTTCCCACAAAGAACCCTGTGGTAGCAGCTTCACAAGACAAGCTGAGCGCCTCAGAGCTCTAGGTAACAGATGGGAACTTCCAACATCTAGGGCACAATTATACAGATGTTTATGCCTCAGATCGGAGATGCTCAATAGGGTGGCCTGGGGGAAGGAATGCAGAAAGCTCACAATTATCAACCTGCCTTCTTATCCTTTTCTCCCTCCATCTCTTATTCACAGCAATCTTCCTGATTTGCAAGGTAATAAATATGGCTCAGTCTCATTACCTTATCAACATACCCCACACACTATTTGAAATTCTAGGACCAGGGACCAAGGAAAATTTATTTCTCTCTGTTGTCTGATCTAAATTCTCTCTGTTTCCTTTCTTAGAGCATCTAGCACAGAGAAAACTAGTCAAATAACTGGAAAACCTATTTTGGAGAAAGGGGAGGGAAGACAAGGAATTTATGTTCTTAAGGGTAGGGAGGGACCAAGTCGTCTTCCTTTCATTTGGGAGCATTTGCAGCCTTACATATACCAATGCTTAAAATTATTAATCAGACACTGACTTGCTTCTTTGCTTGTTTATTATCTCCTCAGAATTCAAAAGCACAGAATCATTAGTCCTAGGAAAGCAGCTGTGACTATGGATCTTTCTATTCCATCCAAACCATCTGGAAATAACATCATATCCTACAGGAACTTAGGATATATCCTGCAAAACTTTTCCAGGATATCATGAATACTGACTTGAAAATAAAATAAAGCATTCAGAAGCACATTACTTTCAAAGTTTAAAGCAGAAATTATGGAAGTTTAAAGCCCACCCATGAGAAGGTTTTTTCCAGTGTAACAGCTTACACACAAACACATATACACAATTCCAGGCTAAAATGTTTGGTCTGTAATCGAGGCAGTTAAAGTACTAAGGTATTCCTCCCTAGATTTAAGCTTGTCAATAAATATATGAAATATTTCTTACCTCCTTTTCATTTACCACTTACATTCACACTCTGTGTCCAGACATATACATGCATGTATATACAGACCATTAAGTAAGCAAACAGGTCAAATTGATCAAGTTTAATGATTCTGTGGTTATCGTTATTACCACTTGAATGCATCACTTCTGTTCCATTAAGTCTGCTCACTTTAGATAGTGTGGATCACCTAGTCTCCCAATCAGATTATTTAATCACCCCCAAACCCTCACAATACAGATCACTATGATGAAGAACAGAAAGATACATATTAGATTGTGGCAGAGCACTGGTCTTTAGGATCCAAAGATCTCTACAACCAGCAAGAGCAGATGGGGGAAAGCAAAGAACAAGGAAATGATACTATTTGAATCCAACTTCTCTGAGTCCCTCCATTAGTAGTAACACAGGTGAGGAAGATGAATTTTAGGGACTGAAACCCTATTACTTCCCTAAGTGAGCGGGAAAAGGACCCTGGTGACAGTAATGCACGAACACCCTGGCTGCAGGGACATGGAGGTTTAGCCAAAAGGCTATCCATATGTAGCAAGTACCCCCAGCCCTGTTCGGCTGAATTTCTACCACTTTCCTGTGAGGGTCACAGCATCTTTCTGGAATCCTCTACAGCACAACTAGTTGGGGGGTGGGTGGTGTAAATCTCAGAGCTAATTCTTTGTATCCAGGCAGGATCAGCGCTTCCTGATCAGACCCCTCTCTTTAAGAAGGTAGAATTTTTTTCTTAATGGGACTTCAACATTGAGGGATAGACAGCAAAGTCACTCACTCACAATCTCAAGCCAATGATATACAGCAGGTTAAGGCAGGGAGGGACAAGTGTGAAAGGTCTAGAAGCCTATACAGGCCAAAAGCAGGTCACTCAAGTAATTCCTAAGAACCACCTGGTGTGCAGGGATTTCTCCAGGATGGCCACAAATGGTGGGGTTTGTCCAGACGTTAGGTCGTGCCCTGCCCTAAGTACTTCAAGTTTCCCAGTTCCACAATGAACTCCCCAAGTTCACTATCCCTGGGCCCTTTGGAATCTGTCACTATTTCAAACTTCCTGGTCCCTCTCCAGCCTGCATTTATGTCCCCAGAGAATTGGGGCAGCAGTGGGCCAGACTCAAGATTGTGATGAAATGGAGTAAATAGTGGGTCCTTGTGTGTGTTTAGAAATTAACTGAACTCTCTTTGGAGTCATAGGTACTCCTAGCTCTGCACTAGGAGTATGATATTAAAACCAAAAAAAAAAAAAAAAAACCCACCTTATTTTAAAAGACACTCACTTCCCCAACTTTTGCACCTCTCAATCCTAACCTCTCCCCACTCCTCCCTTCATGCACAGGCCACCAGAAGATGCTGTCCCAACACTTTCAGTATCTTTGGGGCCCAAGGATAAAATGGCATTAATGGCACTTGACAGAAGATCCCATCCCACACTGAGGATTCCTCCCAGGTCAATACAGTGAAGAAATAAGATGGTGACATAAGAGAAGAGGCGGGAGAAACCAAAGCCTGTCCCTTCTCACAGAAGAGGCACAGAAATCGGAGGAGTGAAAATGGCATCATCTCTTGCCAGAGGGCCACCAACCACCACCAGCTGGGAGCCGCATGATCGCTTGCTTCTCTTCTGGACTGAAGTGCAAGATGGTCAGGATGGCAGTGAGCGTCTGCTGGCGGCCCAGGGTGTCTGGCAAGGTCAGGAAGCGATAGATGATGTTCTTGAGGTACTCCAGGTTGGCTCCCTCCCGACTCTGGTCCCTGATGTTCTTTGCGATGTGGCTCTGCAGGGCTCCCACCTCCTCCCGATGCCGCTCCCCCTCCTCCAACAACCGGTCCTGCAGCCGATGCACTTCCACCTCCAGCCGGTGCTTCTGCTTTCTCAGCGACGTGATCTCCACCTCCTTGCGGGCCAGCTGCTCGGCATACAGGAAGAAAGTGGGCTCGCTGGCCGCAGCGAGTTGCAGGGCTTGGGTCAGGCTGTCCGGGGTGGAGGTGTCCGCCTGGTCCCCGGGGCCCGCGCCACCCACAGGGCTTCTGCGCCCCGGCAGCCCGGAGGACAAGGCCACAGATCGCAGCTGCTCCAGCTCCAGGTCCTTCTCGGCCAGCACGGCCAGCGCCCGGTCCCGCTGCTTGTGCAGCTCCTCCTCCAGCTTCAGCGTGCGGTCCCGGAAGTCCAGCTGGCTCCGCTCCAGCTCCTGCCGGTGGCCATGCTGCAGCCGGGCCATCTCCTGCTTCCAGCCCTCGGCCTCCTGCTGGTGCTGGTGCTCCAGCTCCTCACAGGACAGCCGCAGTGAGATGTACTTCTCCTTCAGCTCGGCCAGCTGCTCCCGGGCTTCCTCCAGCTCCTTGCCCAGGTTCCCGTCTTTGACGTTCTTGCTCTTGAGGACCACCTGGGCCCGCATCTTGTACCTCTCAAATTCCTCCTTCAGCTGTTTCAGCTCTTGCTGGTAGTAGAGCGCCGTGGCCTTTTCCCCATCAGCAGCCTCGGAGCTGGGCATTATCTCCAGGTCGCAGAGCTTCTCCACGTCCAGGGTCACCTGGCTCTTCCTGGCCGCCACCTGCAGCAGCCTCTTCAGCTTCTCCATCTTGTCCTTCAGGACGTTGACATCCAGACTGGACTCATCTCCATGGCTGTCCAGAGGAGACCGGCTGGAGGCTGCTAGCGCCAGGGTCTTGTTCTCCAGGTCCAGCTGCAGAATGCGCTCCTTCAGCTTCTGGATGGCCAGCTGGTCCTTCTGCTTGGCCTTCTCGTAGGTGCCCAGCAGTTCCGACACCTGGGATATTTGATTCTCCAGGGCCGCCACCCTCTGCTCTTCCAACTGCGACTGCTGGCGCAGCTGATCCTCAGCGAGGGCTGTCTGAAAAAACAAGGGAACAGGTGGAGATGCATCCAGAAAAGGCACAAGGTCGGAGGGCCAACTTTGAGGAAGCAAGGGAGGGGGGACAAAAAGGTTATGGGATGGGGGTGGCCTGGCAAAAAATGGGAACTGAGAATTTTTCTGAGTTTGGGTGCTTCAAGCTCCTGTAACCTGCTCTCAGACACACATTATACCCAATGATATTAAGACTCTTTGGAGATCTGCTACTGTTCTGCTTTAGCGTTTCTACTCTCTCCACCCATACACCAAGTTCACGTGTAAAGTGTGCTCTTCACCATATGACATTCTTTTCCTCTTCCAACATTCCTGGAAGTTCAGAATTGACTTGGATCTCTCCCCACGCTCAAAGGAGGCACTGGAAAATAGCCTAACTTTCCAGACAAGGCAAATATTGACTGCAAACAATACAAGAAGTGATTTCTTCTGTGAAAATTCCCTTTGTCCCCTTCAGCCACCCTACCTAAAGGCATCCACTGCTCCCCCTAGACAGGTATATCGCTATAGGCATCCACTCCACCTTTCACTGCACGGCCACTGCTACACCACTTCACAGCACAGCTGGACAGATACCATGCCCCGACGCTCAGATCTGCCTGGTCCAACTTCAGACTACACTCAGAAACTCCACATCCTGTTGGAAGCACACTTTATGGATACTGTCAACACCACATAGAAAAGGATTTCTCAGGACCCACAAGTGAAACTTTTTGAAGAGCATCAAAAAATCAACAGTGCAGGCACTTAGTTCTAACTGTCAAAGGAGGAAAAAAACCTAGTATTTCCCCATATGTCACAAGTGTGTGTTGACTCGTGTCTGACTCTTTACTTCCTTATGGACTATAGCTTACCAGGCTCCTCTGTCTATGTGGTTTTCCAGGCAAGAATACTGGAGTGGGTTGCAATTTCCTACTCCAGGGAATCTTCCTGACCCAGGGATTAAACTTTTATCTCCAGAATCTCTTCCATTGGCAGGTGGATTCTTTACCACTGAGCCACCTGGGAAGCCACTTTAAGTTAAATGACTCATGTTTGAAAGAGATGAAGATAATTACCTTCCTCATTTCCTGCTGCAACTGAGCCTGGAAATGGCTCTTAAGGCAGGCCGCCTCTTCTTGAAGCTCCTTCAGCCGGGGGTCAGGCTGATTCTTCTCATCTCGAAGAGCCTGAAGCTCACCTTTCAGCTCCTCCACCTCACGGGTCAGCTGCTTGGTCTGCAGTTCAAACCCTTCCATCTGACCGGCTGCATAGGCCCGCCCAGCCAGAGCTTCCCGGGTCTCTTCCAACCGAAGCTCCAAGTCCTGGCGCTGGGCCCTCTCCTCCTGCAGCAGTTTCTGGAGCTCACGCAGCATCAAGGCATGGTCACTCTGCTCTTGAGCGCGATCATGCTGCTGCGTGATAAGCCGGGCTTTGGTTTCTGCTATCTGTTCCTGCAACCCCTTCAGTTCTCCCTCCAGCCGGCCCCTATCCTCCTCTGCTTTTTTACTGGCATCCTCTAAGTCCTGCTTCATCTTCTTTTTGTCCGCCAGGTAAGAAGCTTCCATGCGGGACTTCTCCTGGGTGACTGTAGCCAAAGAGCTGGTCAAAGTAGCCAACTGAGTCTTCAGCTGCTGCAGTCGTTTGTCCACCTCCCCACTCCCAGATGGGCCGTCCCCACTACTACTGCTAACGCCACTCTCTGACCCGCTGGCCTCTTCCAACTTTGGAGGTGGTGGTCCACGGGCCAGTCTGTCATCTTCTACCCCAAACTCACCCTTGGTGCTGGTGAGACTGGCCGCAGTATCCAGGCTGGCGGCGGTCCCTGTGCTATCCTCGCTGTGAGTGGAGCACCGGTCATCCACAGAGTCAGGAAAGGTGAGGCCTTGAGGCTGCACACCTGCGAGGCCCACATCCGCCTCGTGGGATACGGACAGTACCTTAATGCTGGCCTCCAGCGCCTCTTTCTCCTTCAGCAGACTTTTATAGGCACGGACTACATCCTTGAGACGTGTCTGGTACTGGAGGAGCTGCTTCTTCTGAGTCTCAATGGTCTCCAGCAGGTCCTTCTTGCTTGGGCCGCTCCCGAAATTCATTCCAACAAACTTCTCCATTAGGGTTCAGGACGAGTTGCTCCACGCCAGGGTTTGGACAGCCTGGGAGAGCGTCACGAAGATGCTAGCGGGGGTTGTATGCGACGGGGAGATAGCTGTCCCCCTCCGCCGCACATCCGCTCCAAGCAGCCGTTCGAGACCGGATGCAGGGCGGCAGGGCAGCCGGGCAGAAACGCTTGCCAGGTCCCAGGCAGGAGGGCGGGGGCGGGTCCTATCCTAGAGGCGGGGCGACGCTGGCACGAGAGAAGCACACTGCCAGGGCTCTCCCGCACTGTCCTAGAAGCCGCTCCGCGCTCCCCGCTCACTCAGCCACAGCAGCACCGGCCGGAACCCGGCGCACAACAGGCCAAAGATTTAAGATGAGCGTAGCTCCATCCCGACTTCCTAACTCTAGCGGCTGGACAACGGCGCTTCCGGGTCTGCTGGAAGTGACGAGAGCGCGACGTATTAGGCCCCGCCCCCAGTGGGCGTGAGGTGGGCGGGGCTACCTCAGCCGGCCGGTGTGGAGAGAGCCAGGCAGAGCTGAGAACTGGTCACTCACCGGCGGAGCGCCGGTTCTTCTCCACCACAGCAGAGCGAGCAGAGTCAAGTACACCGGAGTCATTTTGGTTTGGTGAAGGCCCCTGATCTTGCCCTAGCGCTAAGATCAGCGAGGGACGGGGGCGACATCGCAATGAGTCCTTACCAAAGACTCGAGTGAAGGACAGGCCCCACTGTTTGGGTGCTCAGTACCGTTGTCCTTAAAGAGGAACAGTTAAGACTACCATTTAGATCACAAAGATGACAACCCTTTCTAGGACAATATTTGACACCTAGACGGTGTATAATACAATCTTACACCTTTCCTGAGTTCTGCCGGGTTCATTTAACAAATATACATAAATAAATATATATAGGCATCATGTCCATTCTAAGTGCCACCTATATTTCAGAAGCTTCACAGGAGTTTTGCTGTTTAGTCTTTATAATTATTCTGCTGAGCATCATTAGCACTATTTTACAGATAGTGCAACATGAGGCACAGAGAAGTTAATACACCAAGGTCACATAGCCTTGGGTTTAGAATCCCACGTAGATCAGCCCGACTCTCAACATACCAAGTGCTATGCCAGGTGATCACCAGGAAGGGACAAGTTCTTACCCTCAAGGGGCCCACATCTAGAGAAGCAGCAGCCGTGCAAACACAAGTATATTCAAAGTGATACTGAAGTTAAGAGGAAGGAGCCCTGTCTAAGGAAGACAGCACAGGCTCTCAGGGGAAATGGTTGGAATTTGAAGGATAAGTACTGATTGTAGAATGTTGTAGAAAGAACATTCTATGCAGAGGGAAAACTTGCAAGGACTCTGGAGCATCAGAGAGTTTGTCTCACCTGGGAAGCATTGAGAATCTTTTCAAGGCAGTTGCTTAGAGTATGCAAAGGAGGTGGCAACAGATACTGCTGACACAATAGATAAGCACCCAAATTAAGGTATTTGGATTTTACCTTTGGTTGTAAGACACTAAAGGATTTCCATCACGAGAGTGGCATCAAGTCTTATATGATAAGGTGGAGATACCAAAGTGCAGAAGACCATTTTCAGTCATGGGGATCAGATGGTAGTGAAACAGAGCAATGATAACAGGGATGTAAGAGGCTAATTAAAAAGAATGAAATAATGCCATATGCAGCAACATGGATGGACCCAGAGTGTCATACTGAGTGAAGTAAGTCAGAGAAGGAGAAATCGTATGGCATCCCTTATATGTGGAATCTAAAAAGAAATGATACAAATGAACTTCCTTACAAAATGGAAAACGACTCACAGATTTAGGGAATGAGCTTATAGTTGCCCAGAAGGGAAGGGATAGTTAGGGAGTTTGGAATGGACATGTACACATGGCGGCTGCTGTTGTTGCTGTTTAGTCACTGAGTCTTTGCAACCTGATGGACTGTAGCCCACCGGTTTCCTCTGTTCAAGGGATTTCCCAGACAAGAATACTGGAGTGGGTTGCTATCTCCTTCTCTAGAGGATCTTCCTGACCCAGGAGTCAAACTCCAGTCTCCTGCTTGGCAGGCAGATTCTTTACTAGTAAGCCACCTGGGAAGTTCCTGTATTTAAAATGGATAACCAACAAGGACCTACTGTATAGCACATGGAACTCTGCTCAACATTATGTGACAGCCTGGATGGGAGGGGGGTTGTGGAGAGAATGGTTCCATGTATATGTATGGCTGAGACCCTTCATTGTTCACCTCAAACTATCACAACACTGTTAAACGGCTATACCCCAACACAAAATTAAAAGTTCAAAATATAAAGATGTTAGGATGGAGGAAAAAAAAGGCTGAGAGAGCTAAAGATAACTTGATCACCACTAATTGTGTTATTATATTAGAACTCTTTTAAATGTGTCCTTCAATCTTATAAAAGCCTTCTTAGGAATGTAAGCCTCTGAAGAATAAGAGTCATGTACTCACTCATACTTGACGCCCAAAGTCTGTTCTCTTTACAGAGTGATGATCAGACACTAGAAGTCTTTTGAAACCCAGTTTCTTGGTAGCCCAGATAACATCCAGCTGCATCATACAAAACATTCAGATGCATTATCATTTTAATATCATTTTAATCTTCACCATAACCTCATGAGACAATTTGGACAGATATCAGTCTCCTTTTGAAGATGAGAAAATGATAGGTTATGAGTATTGTTGAAATCAAGCCCTCAAAAGAAGGGGGGGCAGAACTGGGATTTGAAATGAGGCCTGGAACAATGGCACCTAATGGGTACTCAATAGATATTTATTTAATGAGGGAAGGAAGGAACAAATGCTCTCTGATTCCCAGTTCACCTCACCGGGTCCACTGCACAAGCAATTGATCATAGAAGCCCGCTGAGAATCCAGAATAGGCAAACCGCCTGTCCTTGCGCCACTGATCAACCAGTCAGTCCATTCAACCAAGCCAGCATTTGTTTTATATGTATTGGGTGCGGCACTGACCCAGTCTCTGTCATAAGAGAAATTTAAATTAATTCCTATCTTGCAATTACCCCCTCTGATGCTAAGATCAGTGGGGAAACAACTAGTGAAGCTCTTTGGCGAGAGCCTCCTCACAGGATAGCTGTGCATCAAAAATCCTGGTTCCCAGGTCTGTGGCAGTGTAAGGAAGGAGCTTCAGAAAGGCTGCCCGGTGCGACCTGAAAGGCGTTATTGCCAAGGCCTTTTAGGAGAAGGCGGAGTTCTACAGTATACAGGAGTAGGGTCTACGCTGCCCAAAACTGGGGATCTTCCAGTGGTTCTGCTGATTGCGGATTTCTGAAACTAGAGTATTAAGGAACCATGAAGCACATCTTCCTCCACCTGTGGCGTACTCCGCTCGAGAGTCTGCGGTCACTGAACCACCTGCTCCGTTCCAAGTCCCTCGCTGGGAGCTGAGAGGACAAAAGGAAAGAGGAAGATATTTGCACGGAATTTCCGCCCCCCTCCCCCGGGGGGTGATGCACACAGCCGAGGCTGCTGAGGTTACCAAGAGCTAAACCGGAGCCCAGTGTGCGTTGGACGCAACAAACCAAAGCCCGGCGACCGGCCACTGAAGATGGGGGTGGAGGGCCGTTACGGAGCGTCGTAGGCTTTTCTCGGCTTCGCTCGGGTTGCTGGTTCAGCTCCAAGGACCTGACAGGCGTGCTAGAAGCCTGGGGAGACCAAGGCCCTTTCCATCTTTGAAACTGGCGCGCTAGCCGTAAACGCGGTGAAGACTCGCTCAGCTTCAGTCTTCCGGAGCCAGGGCCTGGAGGCGGGGCTGAGGGGCGGGGCTGGCCCGAGGTGACGTAGGGCGGGCCGGGACGCGCGGAGGCGGCGGCGGCACCTCCTCCTCCTGCTCCTGCTGCTGCTGCGCCCCATCCCCCAGGGGCCCGCCGGTTCCAGCCCGCACCCCGCGTCGGTGCCCGCGCCCCCTCCCCCGGCCCCGCCATGGGCCTCACCGTGTCCGCGCTCTTTTCGCGGATCTTCGGGAAGAAGCAGATGCGGATCCTCATGGGTGAGGCAGACCAAGCTCGCGGCCCGGACGCGAGCGCCGGCCCCTGCGCAGCCCTGCCGCCCCCGCGTCCCTCCAGCCCCCGCTCACCCGTGTCTCCGACCCCGAGTCACCCATGTCCTAACCCCCCGGGGGGCACTGCCCGGGTGGATCGCGGTCTGCAGCACCGCCCCCGGGGCCTGACACCCGGAGCTGCGGGCCTGGGTGGGGTGAAGCTCCCTGCGCCCCAGCCCGGCTGGTAAGAAGGGAGGATTCCCCGCCCTTGGAGACGACTTTTAAAAGGAGCGCTCGGCCTTTCTCTTGCACCTCTTTCCCCTCAGTCCTCCGCCGCCCCTAGCCCGCTCTGGGGGCAGGAGTTGCCGCTCCCCACCCCGACAGCCCTCAAGGCCCCGAAGGTAGAGAACAGCGTGCACCTGGAGGCGCCCGGGCTCTCCGCCCCCGTCAGCATCGGCTGTCTTGGCCTCTCCCCTTCCCTGGGCTCTAGGGGGCTCCCTCGCTCTCATCTCCATCCCTGTGCCCCTCTCCGTTGCAGTTGGCTTGGATGCGGCTGGAAAGACCACAATCCTCTACAAACTGAAGTTGGGGGAGATTGTCACCACCATTCCCACCATAGGTGAGTTCGGGGGCGAGGCCGGGAGGAGCGGGAGCGCGGTGGGGGCCCTTCCGAGGATCTGCTCCGTATTCTGCCCCAGGCCTTTATCTGCCGAGAACTGACTCTGACACAGGATCCTGCTACCTGAGAAGTGGGTCAGGGTATCTCTATGTGCGGGATGGATGTGACCTAGCGCCGCCCGGTCTGTGGACTGTCGGGCCTCTTGGGGTTCTTTTCCCTGCGGCCTCGATCGTTGCCTTCTGGTTTTGTGTCCCTCCTGAATCCACTTAGTGTTAATGAGTTCCTTCCTTTCAGTACTTTTGCCTCATATGTTGTACAATTATCTGCAGGCTTCAATGTGGAAACAGTGGAATACAAGAACATCTGTTTCACAGTCTGGGACGTGGGAGGCCAGGACAAGATTCGGCCTCTGTGGCGGCACTACTTCCAGAACACTCAGGTTGGGGCTACCCCACCCCCAGGAGAAGAGGTGTTAGGGTTAGGAGGCTGAGGTGTTGGCCCTGAGCCAGGAAAAAACCCTTACAGCCGCTCACCCTCATTTGTAGGCGAGCCTCTCCTCATCCTTGAGATTGCCCTTATACTTCTGAGACTTAGCCAGCCACCTTCTGCTTCTCCCTAGAAGCAGAGTTCTGAATCCAAGCTGCCTGATTTAGAGCTCATCACGTCTTTCCCTGTTCCCTGCACATCTTTTTGCTAGACTGCTTGCCTGAGGGCAGAGGCTGCATCCGTTGCAGGGTGTCTCCAGTTTGTGCTAGAATGTCTGCAGATCGTTATGGAAGTTTACTAGATGAGCAGGCTTTCGACACAATTAAAGACGGGCAGAAGAGCAAAGGGTCCAGAGGAGGATGTGTGTGTCCCAGACTCCGGAGATAGCTCCTCCTTCCTGTCTTCCTTTGCACCCAGGGCCTCATCTTCGTGGTGGACAGTAATGACCGAGAGCGCGTCCAGGAATCTGCTGACGAACTCCAGAAGATGGTGAGCACCCAGAGCCCCGGGGAAGAGAAGTCTCTGCCCCGGTGTGAGAGTCAGAAAGTGCCTCACGGGCCGCGAACGTGCCTTTCTCTTTGTGGGCACAGTTACTAGAAATAACTCCCCCTGTTTTGAATCGGGGTCAGGTAGAAAGTATAAGACTGACTTTTTCCTTGAATTTTCTCTCCTGTCTTCACAGCTGAGTCTGAGAAGTTAAGTGGGGAGGGAGGAGTTATACCAGGTGGAGGGAAGCATCCTCTTAAGTTCTTGTTTAGCCATTTGGAAATGTCATTTTGACTAGGGCAAGTAGTCTAATTAGAAAAAGACACTTGCTGGACTTAAGGCCAAAATGGCCTTAAGCAGTTGGTAACTGTCTTGTGTTCAGTAGATGACACAGTATTCTGTTTTTCCCACAAATATGCTAGAAAGTAGAAGGGGGTGGGGGCTCCCGTGCACAGCTGCGTTCCACCCACCCCCTTCACCTCCCCCAGCTGCAGGAGGACGAACTGCGGGATGCGGTGCTGCTGGTGTTTGCCAACAAGCAGGACATGCCCAACGCCATGCCCGTGAGCGAGCTGACCGACAAGCTGGGGCTACAGCACTTGCGAAGCCGCACGGTGAGGGCCCGCCTGGCCCCAGGAAGCCCCAGGCCTGGCAGGAAACAAAGGCATCTCCTTTTTTTCCCTGCTGCTGACCTCTTTCTTTCCCCCTCCCCGCAGTGGTACGTCCAAGCCACCTGTGCCACCCAAGGCACAGGCTTGTACGACGGGCTGGACTGGCTGTCCCATGAGCTGTCGAAGCGCTAGCCAGCCAGGGGCCGGCCCCTGCTGCCCAGAAGCTCCCGCGTGCATCATCCCGGGAGGACCAGACTCCCGGACTCCTCAGGCAGTGCCCTTCCCTCCCAGCTCCTCCTCCCCCGCAGACACAGGCCACTGCTCCTGCCTGCATGTTCTCTCTCTTTTGGGAGCCTGGAGCCCCGCTCTCTGGGCATGGAGGGATCTGATCTCCTGCCCGCTGGGACCTGTGGAAAGGGGTTTCCAGGGCCAAGGCCCCTTCTTCCAGAGGAGGAGCAGGGATCTGGGTTTAGTTTTTTTTCTTCCATTTCAGTTGTACCCTTTGGGCCAGGTGGGGAGGGGAGGGGAGGGCTCCAGGTGGTGCTATGATGTGGCACTGGATATTGAGTAATAAATTTGCTGTGGTTTGTACTCTGTGTTGTTTGTAGCCTGCAAGTGGGGGGCTGGGTTACTGGCTGCAAAGATAATATGGTCGTGGCGGGGGCAGGGTTCAAAGTTGCTAGGGCTTCCCTGGTGGCTCAGCGGTAAAGAATCCACCCGCCAACGCAGGAGACACAGGTTCAGTCCCTGGGTCGGGAAGATCCCCTTGAGGGAGGACATGGCAACCCACTCCAGTTTTCTGACCTGTGAAATCCCGTGAACAGAAGAGTCTGGCGGGCTGCAGGCCATGGGGTCTCGAGAGTCAGACATGACTGAGAGACTAAATGGCAGCCATGACAAAGCAGCTAAGTCTGCCAAGCCAGCCCCTTACCCAAGCGCGCACACTCGACCTTACCCTCATCTAGCTCAGCTTCTCCCTCCTACTCTCAAGACTAGAAGTATTTAGGGCCTCCAGTGGAGGAAATTCCATTCCTTCCCCAATTCCATGGGGCCTTTGCTGCTGGTAACAGGCTCTATCTTCATGGGTTGGTAAACCACCTAACTCCCATTTCCCATCCACCTCCCAGCTGCTTAGAGCAGTGCTTAATGATGACTATGCACATTGAAACTTGAGGCAGGGAGAATATTAAGAATAAGGGCCCTGAGGCACACTTCTGAAAATGATTCTTTAGGACTGGTCTGAGACCCAAGAATCTGCATCTCTAAAACTAGCCAGGTGATTCTGTCACTCACAGTCTATTGGCCTTATTTTATAAAACCTTGGTAGGGCTTCCTTGGTGGCTCAGATGGTAAAGAATCCACCTGCAATACGGGAGACCTGGATTCGATCCCCTGGAGGAGGGCATGGCAACCCACTCCATTACTCTTGCCTGGAGGACCCCCATGAACAGAGGAGCCTGGAAGGCTACAGTCCATGGGTCACAAACAGTAGGACAGGACTGAGTGACTTAAGTGCAGGCAGGGTCTGGAGAGGGCTTCCCAGGTGGCACTAGTGGTAAAGAACCCACCCGCCAGTGCAGGAGATGTAAGAGACATGGATTCCATCCCTGGGACAGGAAGATCCCCTGGAGGAGGGCTTAGCAGCCCACTCCAGTATTCTTGCCTGGAGAATCCCCATGGACAGAGGAGCCTGGTGGGCTATGGTCCATAGCATCGCAAAGAGTCAGTCAGGACTAAAGTGACTTAGCATGCACACAGGGCACGGGGATTATAGTCCCCTACTGTGCACCACTGCAGCCCTTTCTACCTGGGGAGATTCCACCTACAGGGAACAGGAAGATAACATGTACAGGACCAAGTGTGTGGAGCATTCTCCAAGTGTGGTTCACTCTGCCTTTTTCACTTTGCATGCTAGCAAAGCTCAACAGACCCACCATCACCACCACTGTTTCTTTTGACCTTTCTCCATTCTTATTTCATGTTGTCGGTTTCTCCAGGTGCTGGACTTGTTTTCTCCAGGAGCTTTAGAGGCAGTGGGTTCTGGAGGCTCCTGGTCAGCGGAGACTGGTGAGGGAAGGGCTGGTATCTTTAGGGGCAACCTGGCTGGCTGCCAGCAGCAGTGCCCTTGGGGACTGAGGAGGGTGCCCTGTGCCCATCCCAACCTGGGCCATTCTCCTTACCCTGCCCCCAAGCCAGCCCATTCTGATGAGCATGAGTAATCTGACCCTTGATGAGTATCTAGGGTTTCCTTACACTCGCTGAAAAGTATCTCCTGAGACCATTCGGCCTCATCCACCCAAGAGCCATAAAAGTTAATAGATTTTTCTTGGATATCTTGAATTCTAAACACATTTGAGCCCCAAGGGAGCCAGGCAGAATCCACTTCCTACAAAGGAAAGAGGTTGATTTCTATCCTGTGATTAAAATGAGGCACATTTTAATGTGAAGAGGGGAGAGACTTGCCTGAAATCACATGTGGTTGTTGGCCCAGGCTGAGTTCTGATTCCCAGACTAAGCTACCTTGATGCCTGGAAGAATGCAGGGAGGCGAGTGCCAGAGGCTCTGGACCCACTTCCTCTGGATTGATGCTGCTGGGTCAGTGCCCTTTCCCCTCTATGGTGGGACAAGGGGCAGCCCCCATAGTCACAATGCTCCCGGGTCACAGAGGCGCTGGGCCCTGGGCCAGCCTCTGCCTGAGAAGTTCACTCTGGGAACATCTTCTGGTGGGTACTAAGGGCCTGATTCCAGGCCCTATGGCCTGTGGAACCTCACCACTGGGGGGAAGGCTGGGCCAGACTGAGTCATCACCTGTGGGGCTGGCCCCATGGAGGAGGTGGAGTGGATGCCAAGACAACCCAGGGCGGAGGACCTAAGGGTTGGGCTCATCAGCTGGGCAGGATCCTACCTCACTTATGAACCATATAAGAATACGGTCACGGCTACGGCAAAGGGCTTGGGCCGGAGACAGGTAACAGAGCAAACCTGCACTGGAACTCTTTTTCCTGGTAGCCAAGCTGTGTGTCTGTGTCTGTGTGTATGCACGTGTGGATATATTTTCAACCTAATCACTTTTCTAGCCTCTGCCATTGTGAGGGCAAGCCTAGCTTTTGCTCACAGGCCTCCATTGCTCCATCTCCCTGTCTCTAAGCCTGTCCCACGTGGTGAAGCCTCAGCCCTGGCTCTGCTACCTGGTCTTGCTCTGGCTGCTCCCCATCCTCTATCCCAGCACAGAAGAGTTGTTTTATCACCAAAAGGAGAGGAGGAGAGCCCAAGCTAGAAGGCAGGATTGTAGGCATCTGGGGAGGTTGCACCAGTGGAGTTACTGCAAGTTCTACATCTTGGTTGTAATTTGAGAATGGGGTACTCTAGAAGCCACTGGAGAGTTGGGTCTCATTTTAGAGAGTGCTGTAGGCACCTCTGGGATGGTGCTAGAGAGAGAGGCAGTAACAAGTTCCTCTTGCTTGTAACAAAGCTGATCACAGCTGAAACAGATAATTGCATCTTGACTGTCTGTGCTTCCATCCTCATCCCCGGAACCCGTGGCTTGCCTGTCAGAGGTCTTGCTTTTCTCCTGCTGTGTTGGAGAAGTGGTTCTGGTGGGTGGATGTGTTGGCTGATTGTGCTGTCCAGGGGAAATAGTGAGAAAAGACAGAAGAAAGACTTAACCCAAAGCTTTTATTGGAAAATTAGATATTTAAGGAAGTGATCAAGAAAGAGAGAGGGAGTTTTACCTTCCATTACCTGGAGGAAGTGGGTACCTACAGTGTCTCTTGGGATCTTGAGAAGCCCTGTGGCTCCAGTGGTGGAAGTGTCCTGAGATCTTTTGATTACCATTGGACGAGAGAGTAGAAGAGAGGACAGTTAGGAGGCCTACGTGGAGGGAAGGTGGTTGATCTCAGTGAAGGTCCTGGAGCGATGCCAGGGATGATGGATAGAGGGCTCCTCGGTCTAGCCTCTTTGCAGGATTAATTTCCCTCTTCCTCCCGATGCCTCCAGACCTGGGAGATCCTAGTGAGCAATCAGCATGACACACAGGCTGTGGTACGACTAAGAAGCTTGCAGGGTCTCTACCTTCTGTGTGAGGCAGACGGTTCTCTGTGCTACGGGCGGCCAAGGACAAGCCATCATGGGTGCTTCCTCATCCGTTTCCACCGCAATGGTCAATGGACCCTCCAGTGCATCATCAGTGGTCGCTACGTGGAATCCGATGGCGAGGATGTTTTCTGTACCTCCCGGGTCCTCTCAGCTTACCACATGTGGACCCCCCGGCCAGCCCTGCACGTCCACGTGATCCTCTTCAGCCCCCTCAACCACTGCTATGCCCGGGCTGACCCTACCATGGGCCGAGTCTGGGTCGATGCACCAATTCCCTGTCTGGAGGAATGCGGCTTCCTGTTGCACTTTCAAGATGGATGCTACCACCTGGAGACCTCTGCACACACCTTCTTGTCCCACTTAGACCGGCTGGTCTCCCAACCCTCAACACAGACAGCTTTTCACATGCAAGTGCGTCCTGGAGGGCTTGTGGCACTGAGCGATGGGGAGGGAGGCGTGCTGTATCCACAGGGCACACGCCTGCTCCTGAGTCTGGGCTCCAGTCCCCATGGAGGCGAGGAGTGGTTCATCCTACAGCGCTGCCCGACATGGGTCAGCCTCAGGTCCAAGTCTCGGAAGTTCCTCTCGGTCGTCTATGGCAAGTGCTGGGTCTAATACAGCCACAGGGGGCAGGAGGGCTGGTTGCTTAAAAGAGGAAAATGTGTTTGGGATCAGAGAGGATTTTTTAACCTGGTGATTAAGGAACATCCTGAGGTCCCCAGAGGATCTCTGATGCCATGGAGATGGGCTTTAAAGTAGGGTCACAGACTTGCAAGAGAAGTGGCCTGGGTCTTCTCCAGGCTACTACAGGCCAAGATGAGAAAGGCTGAGGAGGGAAAGCAGAGGGAAGGCCAGTCATTCAGTGTGGAGGAGGGGCTGAGAGTGAGACTGAGGCCAGACTCGGGCTTCTTCTGACATCTTCTTCCTCTGTAGACGTGGAGGTGTGTGCTGCCTCTGAGCACGTAAGCCCAATGTCATTGTTCCAGTTCGAATGTGACAACGAGACCCCCACCTTGCAGCTTCGTTCAGCCAATGGCTGCTACCTAGCCCAGGTGAGACTTTGACTTTCTGGACAAGAGAACCCTTAAGCCCTGAAA